TGTGTGTGTGTGTGTGTGTGTGTGTGTGTGTGTGTGTATTTCTTGTGGTAATTACCCCATTTCTCTAAAGCATATACCTGAATGCCATTGAGATGCTCAGCAGGTCAAGGTGTCTGCCACCAAGTATGATGACCTAAGTTTGATCCCTGGGACCCATATGGTGGAAGGAAAGAACCAATATTTGCAAATTGTCTTCTGACCACCACATGCATGCACATCTCTCTCCCACATATGCATAAATAGATATAGTCCTATAATAATTTTCTTATGTAACTATTTTAGATCTTATATATTATTGCTGCAATCAGTAGTGATTTAAATTACCTTAAAGTTAATCTTAAACTTAATCAGTAGTGTCTTAGATTACCTTCCATCCTTTATTTCTCTAAATTCAATTATCATTTAATTATTTCATTAAATTGTTTCTATACTATTTTGGCTTCATAAATGTGGAATAAGAGAGCCAAATAATGTAATACATTCTAATTACATTTATTCCTTATATGAATTTGTCTTTGGGTTAGAGTTTCTAATTATATTTTTTCTGGCAGTACCTTAGGTATAATTGATTTCTTTTATTTCCCTACTCTGCCCAGAGTACTACTTGATCCTATTATGCCATATTTTTCTTGGAAACCTTCCTCCTGGAACCCTCTATATTACCTTTCTAGTTTGAGCTGATTGACTGGGGTCATGCTTACTACATGGTCAGCTCCTTTGGCTGCTCCTCCTATCCTGAGACCACTACATCCTAGATATGAAGTTTAGTTCTTTTTCTTGTACCTTTATTTTGCTGGAGCACAGTGGCATATAAATTCTTTTTTTTTTTAATATTTTTTTTTTCGAGACAGGGTTTCTCTGTGGCTTTGGAGCCTGTCCTGGAACTAGCTCTGTGGACCAGGCTGGTCTCGAACTCACAGAGATCCGCCTGCCTCTGCCTCCCAAGTGCTGGGATTAAAGGCGTGCGCCACCATCGCCCGGCGGCATATAAATTCTAATGTGAATGTGCTGGCAAATCTTAAGTATTTAAATGTGAAATGCTTTTAATTTATTATTTGTTTATTTGTGTTGTAAATTGAATCCAGGGCCTTACATATGATAGACAAGTGCTATACCTCAAAACTACACCCCCAGTCCTGTCTTTAGGCACCAGAATACTAGTTTAGCTGGGTATAAGATTTTATATTTAGAGCAGGAGCAGTGGCTCTGTAGTCCAAAGCACTAGCTGTTCTTCCAGAGGACCCAAGTTTGAGTCCCAACCCACAACTGTCTGTAGCTCCAGTTCCAAGAGCTCCAACACCCTCTTGTGGTGTTGACACTTGAAGGACAAACACCCATACACATGAAATAGAAATGAAAATAAGCCCACGTATAGTACTGCATGCCTTTAGGCCTAGCATTTGGAAGGAAGAGGCAGGCAGATCACTGAGTTTGAGGCCAGTCTGATCTCAATAACTTTTTAAGTGAAACTAGGTTATGAAGTATTCAGTTTCTTTTCCTTTTTGATGCTTTGGAAGAATACAAAAACTTCAATGTGGTTAACACACACATACACACACCAAAAGAAATGTTTTTAACTTTAAACAACTGTGATGACACTTACATGGCTCTAGGCCTTCAGACTCAGAGACAGCAGGATTGAGGGTTTGAAGTCTATCTAGGTGTGATGGTTGATGTTGTCAACTTGACAAGATCTAGAATAATCTAGGAGAGAAATCTCAGAGCGTGTCCAAGAAGGAGTTCTTACGTTGAGTTCTTTGGAGTGGGGAGAGCCACCTTAGGTGTGAGCAGTAGTATCCCAATGGCTGAGTTCCTGGACTAGATACAAAGACGTGCTGCAGCCCAAGAGATGGCTCATTGGTTAAGAGTACTGGCTGTTCTTGCAGCTGGCCCAATTCCTAGCACCCACAGAACACGGTAACTCCAGTGTCAGGGGATCTAATGCCCTTTTCTGACCTCTGGGCACCAGGCAGACACATGGTACACAGACATATAGGCAGGCAAAATACTCATACACTTTAGTCTTTTTTGTTATTTTATGTTTTTGCCCCTAGAGCTAGGATAAAACCAGGGCCCTGTGCCTGCTAGGCAAGTACTCTACCACTGAGCTAAATCCCCAATCCCCAAGATTGTGTGTATCAGTTTTTAATTTTTTGGTTTTTTGTTGTTGTTGTTGTTGTTTGGTTGCTTTTTGGTTTTTTGTTTTGTTTTTGCTTTGATTTTGGTTTTGGATTGGGGGGGTTGTTTTGTTTTCTTATTTCATTCATATTCTTTAAATAAAAAGACAAGCAAAGATGTGTGCCACTACATCCAGCTAAATTTTTTAAATTAAAAAAAAGAAAGGAGAAAGCAAACACAGCTTCCATCTCTCTTTGCTTCCTGACTGTGGGTGAGGTGTACCAAACTGCCTCAATCTAAGCTGTCAGTCTTCCACCACGGTCAACTGAATCCTCAGACTGGGAGCCAAATCAAACCCGTCCTTAAGCTGTTGTTCTCACGGCAAATTGTATTTTGTCACAGCAACAAAAATAACAACTAAATTGGGCTGTAGAACGAGTTATCCTTGGCTACGCAGTGAGACCCTATCTCAAATAAATAAAATTAAGGATTAAAAAAAAAGATTAGTGGATTAGTTTTAAATTTAATTTTTATTAAAATTTGCGTGTGTGTGTGTGTGTGTGTGTGTGCGCGCGCGCGCATGCTCACATGGGTATATGTGTACATGTTACATGAGTGCAAATGGCTACATAGACCAGAGGCATAGTGTGCCTTGGAGCTAGAGTTGCAGGTGGTTGTGAGCCACATAATTGAAAACTGAAATCAAGTCTTCTGTAAGAGCAGGAAGCGCTCTTAGCCACTGAGCCGTATCTCCAGTCCCCATAATCTTAAAGGAGAAGACGAGTGATGAATCCAACAGTATGCAAAAAGAATGCATCATGTTCAAACTGGGTATGTCCTGGAATCTAAGATTAGTTTATAATTAGAGAATCGAATTTCTGCGTTAATAGGTTAAGGCCAGTATG